TAAATATGTCTTTTCCTGGCAGAAATTGGCAACCCTATTATCCGTTGTTTCTTTTGATTTTCCTTACCGCTATGCAAGGTTCATGCATTTCCCTGACTTTTATGCTTGGTTCTACCATTTTCCAACAGGTATATGAATGAGCAAGCTGCTCTCAAGCAGCAATCAGACGCATCAAGGGGAGTTTATGTGTTCTCTGATCTGAACCCTTATGTTGGTCATCCTAATCCTTTAAAAGAAGGGCAAGAATTGTTTCGTAAGGGTCTCTTAAGTGAAGCAGTTCTTGCTTTGGAGGCTGAAGTTTTGAAGAACCCTGAAAATGCTGAGGGTTGGAGGTTACTTGGCATAGCACATGCTGAAAACGATGATGATCAACAGGTTAACAATAGTTTAGCCATTCTTCATTCACTAATCTTTCTGTATCTTTTTTGAATCATTTCCATGTGTTATATCTGCAAAGGGATCAAATTCCTGGGTGTGGTTGATGAACTGTAACTGCATTTCTGTTCTCCCAGTGTTCCAAATTAAAAACTTCCTATGCCAAGAAGAGGTTATAAAACATTGACATGCTTGATTACAATACAAGATCTTTTCTTCATTAGTTATGTTCGTATCAGATTTTGCTTTAGCAGTTATGATACAACCCTGAAGCCTCTAGATCCTGAGATGGTCAAACGCCTAAATTGCCTGTCTGGTTCTTGTTGAATGATAGAAGTACCCTATTCACTTGCAGTTTGTTGTTGGGTTGCCAAATGGTATTTGGCGTAAAAGACCCTTGAATCTGCGAGGTTCCCCTGAATCAAGCTCAAACCATTATCTGTTCTACGATTTTGATTCTTAATCTCTATTAGACAGTCTCACCTATTGAACTTGCGATTTTAGTTGTTTCACTGTTATAATGGTCTGTGATGCCTGAAGAATTGTGTGAATTGAGTTCTCCCATCTTTTGCTGTTTGATCGGAGATCACCTAATACTGAAAATAATTTATTTCCTAAGTAGCATTAACCATTTAATTTTTGAAGCAAATGTGAGGAGTTGGTGCTGAAACCAATGCAACAATGATTCATGTTGATATGCTTAATGATTTGGATCCTTCTCTGTCTAGTGTTCCTTGGCTAAAAAATGCTCAACTCAATATGTTGGTAAGGCATAACATCATAGTCATCTTTTCACAGGCTATAGCTGCTATGATGCGGGCACAGGAGGCTGATCCCGCAAATCTGGAAGTTCTTCTTTCCCTTGGAGTAAGTCATACAAATGGTAAGTAGTTAGTTCAATGGAGATTGCTTATTATTTCAAGTGAGAAATTGTAGTGGATGTGCCTATTTTTATATAAGTGAGGGAAGCATTGTAGAAAGGACCATCCACCTTCAACTAAGAGATTGGAGTACTGAGTCGCACCACAGGAGCAAAGTGGAAAAAAGGCCACTGTTGACTCTTGGACGGGAGTGTCTGAGGTTCATATTGGAAAAAATAAATAAGATCAGCCTAAATTTTTATAGGATACTGTTCAAACTTTATTGCTACTTATGTGATATAGGTTCCTAGTAATGATTGCTAAATGTAATTTAGAAACTTCATACATAGAAGAGCAAGAGTATTAACTTTTTGATAAGGAGAAGATCAAGAGTATTATTGTTTAGTTAATATATTCATATGATGTGGAGCATTGAGGCAACTTTGTTTTGTAGTGGCTTTAAAGTTCGATTACATTGCCCCCAAGGCCTAGCTCAAGTGGCAAAAGGTGAAGGATTTGTGGCTTAGGTCGCAGGTTCAAGCCCCACACCATGCAAAGCGAAGCCCGGTATTTAAGTGGAGAAGGGTAGAGGGGCGGGCCCATTATCCACCGAGTTTAGAAGGCTGTGATTGGTCCAAAGGGCGGGTCACAGACGGATTTCTCGATTATCAAAAAAAAAAAAAAGTTCGATTACATTCGCATTATCATTGGCCCTCTAGATTTATTGCTTTTTTTAGTCTCACACTGAGTTTAGAAATTGCTCCATGATAAGTAAATAGCATAATTGGGCAATGGACATTCATTCTCATGAGGAACACAACAACATCCAGAGAGTGACTCTTTTATTAGACTTTGTAGTTTTCCTGATTTTACACGTAGTCTGTAAATTTTATCTTTAAGGATTGGTAATTCTAGCTTATTCAAAAAGATATTATTTTCATATTTTGTAATTGTCCAGAACTGGAGCAACAAGCTGCATTGAAGTATTTGTATAGTTGGTTACGCCACCACCCGAAGTATGGGAGTATTGCGCCTCAGGAGCAGCCCATTTCTTTCTATCATGCTGATGTAAGACTCCGTATTTAGCTTCTCTTCCTACCTTTCCCTCCCATGTTCTCCTTCTCACCTTAGGTGGATACGATGCTGAAGTATTCCAATTGCTGAATGTTGTTGAGGGTTCATTTTAAACTTGAAAGTACTAAAATGTTACTCTAGTTCTCGCTATTGTGGCTAATCTACTCATTCTATCTCCCTCTTGCCTTTCTTCTTCATCCTCTTTTTCTTTTGTCGGGATCGGAGAACGGAAGGAGGCCATAGCATAGGAATTATAAATGAAGGGCAACTAACTGAGATGTTTATTTTTATGTGATACAGGTAGCTAGATTGTTTACAGATGCAGCTAAAATGGCACCTGAGGATGCTGACGTACACATTGTACTTGGGGTGTTATACAATCTATCAAGAGAATATGACAAAGCTATAGAGTCTTTTAAGACAGCACTAGAGCTCAAACCTAGGGACTACTCACTCTGGAATAAGCTTGGTGCAACACAAGCTAACAGTGTGCAGAGTTCTGATGCAATATTGGCTTATCAGCAGGTATTCTTCATTTCACCTAATGAATACTCATTTTCCTCTATTTTGGACATCTGATGGTGAATTCTCCTGGATATATTAACTTGTTGCTTATTTACAACCTTACAAGAAGATACCTATGATTTGCATATTGACCCTGCTAATACAAGTGTGTGGATATTCTTAGTGTTGACTCTTTGCAATTCTTACAATGTAATTGCCCCAGGATTGGTAGCAGTATGATAGTGTGTTGAACTGAAAGATGTTACCCATCAGATGAGCTTGTTGTGGCTATCTTGGAACTGAATCTTTTAAATACGTGTTTGAACGCTTCTTATGCACTTAGATGTGTACTTGAACTCCTTGTAGATGTATTAGTCCAATAGAGCAAGTATAGAATCTTAGGTACGGATGAAGCTGTAACTTTACTGTTTTGAGATATGGAGAAGTTTTTGGTAGATCCCCACCATTAGATTTTGTCACATATGCCTTCTTCTTTTGTATCATCCATCTTGTTTGTGTGTGCATATATCCACATCTGTAGATTTGTCTGAAGAACAATTGATTTATTGACATTTCAATTTTAATTCTCAGGCGCTAGATATAAAGCCTAACTATGTACGTGCATGGGCAAACATGGGCATCAGTTATGCCAACCAGGTGATATTCTATGCCTTTGGAAGTTATAAGCCACACTTGTACACTTCATTTCCAAGTTAATAGTAGTAAGCATGTTTTTCGAACTTTGGTTGTGATTCTGGTATTATCTGCGCAGTTCTAGATGAAGTCCTCATAATCTTGTGCTGAAGTGCAGAAATACCAATCATGGTTGCTTCACTCATCTCCCCCCCCAAAAAAAAAATAAAAAAATTTCCAATCATGAAGTTGTTTCACTCATCCCCCCCCCAAAAAAACAAAATTCCAATCATGAAGTTGTTTTATATCAATAGTTTCCCAGAACAAAGAAGGCAAAGAGACATCTAATTGCAACATTCTCTCTCATGTTCCTGACTGTTATTCGCAGTGCAATGCTGTGTTCTCTTTTCATCTAGAAAAATAAAATTTCTTTTATATCTCAAGCGTAATTTGTTTCATTTGTTTATAGAAGTCCATGGCGTATAATTTTAAACATTTTCTTTTGCATACAGGGTATGTATGAGGATTCCATCCGTTATTATGTCCGGGCACTAGCAATGAATCCGAAAGCAGATAATGCCTGGCAATATTTGAGAATATCTCTGAGGTATAACATCACATGATGAAAATTCCATGTGTAGCACTATTATATTGCAGTTTCATTAACTGAGTTTTTGTTTAATCCTATTTTGTTTGGCAGCTGTGCATCTCGAAATGATATGTTGGAAGCTTGTGACTCGCGGAATATTGATGTTCTCCAGAAGGAATTCCCTCTGTGATATACTTTGGTCCTAAATGCTGATATGAGAGTAGAAGCGTTTGATTTCCCTCGTCTTAAAGGATTCCAAGATTCACATCCTCTTTAGCCTTGTGAACTTGATTTGCAATAATTATATTCACTGCTTTTGTAGCTCATTGGATCCCTCACCTGCAAGCTATAATATTGTTTATCCCCTTGAGATCAGAACTTAGAAGATTAAGCTGGACATGACAATGGTCTGGAACTAGCATAGAGCCAAGCTTATACATCTGCCATCATTCAGTGATTGTATTGTAGGAATGAAAGCGTTATGTAATGAATAATAAACTTTTGAGAAGGTGGGTTTTGGGGTGGGGGTTTGAAGATATAAAGCTGCAAAGAGAACACAAATAAGTGTAATAACAACTAGTTGTAAAGTTGTCTTATCTCGTGAAATGTTATTTCCTTCTGGTATCAGCCAGGGGAATTCCTCGATTATTTCGTGTTATATTTAGGAGTTGAGGAAACCCTTCACCAAACCAAAGGAGTTCTTCCCTTTTCTTGTTCATCAGAACTCTGCACACTGCCATAGAGGTAAACGGTGATTAAATTCAGATGTTTATTCTTCGTCACTTACGTTTGTCTTGCTTCTGCAATGGAGCTGTAAATGTATAGTCAATATGGCGTGGACATCAAGACATGAATTATCATCGCAGTCACACACGCAACAAAGTTCAAAACACACCAAACTGAAATTTTAAAATCATAAAACACAGGATAAATGGCTAGAAAAACTAGATATGTGCTACCAGGAGTGAATCAGAAGCTCATAGCTGAACAAAAGGAAATCAATTGAAGTAGATAAGATGGATAAAAGGGAAAAGGAAAGATATACTACACAAACAAATACTAGTCATTTCCTACCGATCCCTCTTTCATGTCCTTGCACACAAATTTAAGCAGCAAATACAACTTTTCCTACCAAAAAAGAATTGACAACTTGGACAGTTCACAAGAACATCAACAACCTGTCACTTTAGGCCTGTGTTGCTCCAAGTTTTCAAAAGTACTGTCCAGATGTGTCGGGTCCTCCAAAAGCTACCATTTTTGAAGGAGTTAATGCGGATGCAGCAACATTTTTAGAGGGTCTGAACAACATAGCTTCATGTCATTCGTCCATCTAATTTGGCAATTTAACTGAAAAGCTACACCTATAAGTTTCATTTACAGAATCTTTTGACAACAGCAACAGGGAACACCAATGATATCGAGGCATTGATGTCTCATAACCATTTTCTTCTCCAACTGTTAGACCTTTTTTCAGCAGACAAGAATCTAGGAAGACTAAGAAGACTGTTAACTCTAGTAATTCCCTCGAGGGCCGACCATTCATCATCTTGTGCAGTTGAGAGGAACTCGGCAATACTTCTCTTAGACTGGCCAACACCCTTATCCGGATGTTCTTCCAGTGACTCAACGACTGGAACTATCTCACTGTCATCCTTGGGAGTACTGAGATCTTCACAACCGGCAGTCTGAGAAGTTGAAATAGCTTCAGTATCTGATCTTCCAACATTTCTATCTATAGTATTTGTCTTAATTTCCACATCAGGGGAATTTGTCAGCTTAGTTTCCACTTCAGGGGAATTTGTCAGCTTATTTCCATTTTTAGTATTTGTCTTAATTTCAGCTTCAGGGGAATTTGTCAGCTTATTTTGGCTTTCTATCACCTTGACATCAAGAACAGGTGTTGAGTTTAGGTAAAGGCATACTATAGCACAGTCGTCATTCTTTGATGTTGGATATTTTAGCCTCCATGCTCTGGTAGCACAGTCAACAAGAGCTCGGCCAGCTGTTGCACGACTTGGAGCGGAGGCCACAATATCCACAGCTTCCTTATTAGAAAGGACATCCCAAACCTACATCACGAAAGTCAAAATATTAAGAATCCAACAATATAAATGTGGTATCACAACGAATAAGATGTTGTATGTTTTTGGTATGGTTGAGGCAGGATTAAACAACATGAGATAAAGAAAAATACCCCATCAGTTGCTAGGAGGACAAACTCATCCCTTTCAGTAATGTGGTGATAGTACACATCCGGCACAGAAATTAACCCAAAATCTTTGAGACAAAAATCACCAAAGGCTCTGGCCATTGCCAAACCTGGAGAGTCGCAGTTGGGCAACCACACACGTGCAACCTCTGGCTCATCTTGCAGTGCAAAAACCCTTCCTTTACATTTATGGATTCTAGCAGCTTCTCCTACAAGAGGAAGATAAGAACCACTGAGTTCAAACAATTGAAATACATTTAAGTGATTCCAGCTTCAGCTAATGTGCACCGTGTGTGTTGGGTGGGGCGGGGAACAGAAACAAACAAACAGACTTGGAAGATTAGGCTTCAAATCTACTGTCAACTGTACAGCCATTAAGGAGTTGTCTTTATCTCTTGTTGCCAAAACTGCTCTCGAATCACCAACATTACCAACAAATATATCCTGGCCCTGAGGACATTCAGAAGATTGGTTATTATCATCTTTCAAGACGCTAAGCAATAAGTGATGCAAATATAACCATGCTAAAGCAGAATCATGTGCAAACCTTCCCACTCAATCGATATTATTTTCTGAAAGTAAATGTTTCAACATCATATCCTGGTCAACAGAGATATTCATCAATCCAAAATTCTACACGACTTCGCATACACACAAAGTCATGAAACAGTTTATTAAGGAAGAATCACAAATTAATTTCTAAATAAGCCAGGACACAAACTAATTAAACATGCAATATGATGTGCAAGGTAAAGAAAAGGCCCTGCATTCTGACAGTAAGTGAGACGCACTAAAATGCACTCTCCAGTTTACAAGAATATTTTTTGAATGATCTGACTACATATTGGCATAGATATACTGGACTTGGAGGATGATCTGGAAGACTACACGACAGTCCCCAAAAAAATTGCCTTCTTTGGTTGGTTAGTGTCTCACAAAGCATGTCTAACACAAGAAAGTATGACACGGAGGGGTTGGATAGTGAGCAGCAGAAAGCTTGTGAATCTGGGGATCATATTTTTGTGCATTGTGAATTTACTTGGCAGGTGTGAACCATGTTCATAGCAAACTTTGGCGTCACTATGATTTTGATACTGAAAGACGTACAAGAAGAAACTATTGTATACATGCACTTAGATACTGATGCACAATGATTCAAACCATGGATGTCGGACAAGTATGGACGACACTGCTTTTCCAGCCTCAATGAAGTTACACTAGTTTTAAATGCATCAATTCCAGCTGAAGCTAAAAGAAACCAAGATTCGGTAGCTACCTGCATTACCAAAGTAACAGCAGTTGACCCGCTGCAGAAACAGTCAATTGAGGGGTGTAACTTCAGTTCCTTATCCATTGATCTAAAAGCCCTTAATAGTGACCTCTTAATTTGCAGATGGATTTCTGGGAATTTTTCATTGTTCTCAGCTTCCACTGATTCAACCAAATCATCATCCACGATGTCATCAAAATGTAAGCCTCCATTAGTATTTCCATTCTTGGATACAGCATTTTGATCACCACAGGATTTACCTTCCCACTCTGATCGCAGCAAGATTGGAAGATAATCTCGAACTTTACTTGCAACCATATGACCATGAGGACCATGCCCATCAAATACTCCACAAAGGGTTGTATCGCTTCTCGAACAATAATTCTATTGTAGAAACATTCCAACCAAGTCATAAACTGACCCAATAGACAAGAACAAATTAATTTATTGTTTGTCAAGTAACAGATTAAACAAAACACAAGAGATAATAACTATGTTTTTTTTTGGAGAGGATAACATGTTCCAGTATATTAAAAGAATCTTCACCACAAAGTTTGTGCTGTAAACCAAAAGGAAGTGTTTACAACAAAAATAAAAATTACAATCCTTTCTCTTCTTACAAGGATAATAACTATGCTTTGACGCTCAACAATGATAGCAACGAGATGAAGCAGAACTCAATTAAAAATCGAAGAGGGCCTGGGGATAAAGGTCTTCGAGTAAACTACCATTTGGTGATTGGTTGTAAGCAGTAAAGTTGTTTTGCTAAGACAGCTATCCCAACTGACGAATCAAAGGAGCATAGGAACAAAAAGGCATGTGTAGATAAAAGATTCAACTTTTAGATTCATGACTTCCAACATGATGCGGTCAATGCTGCCACAACCCAAAAGCAAATAAAAAAGTACTAGAAAAAACAGAGCAGAGTGGAAATTTGAAATGATAAAAAGCTAAAAAATGAAGCTCAGGCACCAAGCGATGCTACTTAAAGGAAGCTCATGCCACACTAAATAGAGAGAAAAAAATATCCATCACAGACAAGGAAAAAACTTCAAATTGATCCATTTTTAGATTATTCATCATTTTACTCTTCGCCTAATCAAAATCTTTGATGAGCTCCTACAAGGATTCAACTCTTAACACTGAGTGGGATTCCAGTTATGACAGCATAGACGGTGTAAGGTCTAGAGAGGGTGAGATGTATGCAGACCTTACTCCTACCTTTGTGGGATAGAGAGGTTGTTTCTAATAGACCCTCCGCTTAAAAGGATTAATTTTAAACAAATGCATCAATCTAATTTCATATTAGACATTGAGTAAGTATCACCAAAATCCAATCTCTACACAGTGGCGGAGACACATATACTTGAGAAGTGTCAACTGACACCCCTTCGTCGGAAAATTACACTATGTAGTCAGGTAAAACTATTTTTATATGTATATATATTACATATTGACACCCTTGGCTTCTACGTGATTTTACTTCTTTATATTTAAACACCCCTTAGTGAAAATTCTGACTCTGTCACTGTCTCTACATACCCATTTAGTGTTAAGGAACAAATATCATATTCACATTCACACTCAAGGGAGGAGCATCTAGACTCCTACTGGTGGGATATAACATGTACATGAAGTGAATTGAGAACTATGAGGTCTCAGGTTCAATTACTAGCCGAGACAAAAAAAACTAGGTGAGTTCTTCCCATCTAGCGTTAGCCTTGGTGGACTGAGTTAGCTAGTGCATGTTACTCGAGTTGCACGCAAACTGGTCAGGACACCACGATTATCGAAAAAATATATTTTAAAATAGGGAAATAACACACATGCACCATTTTATCATTCACAGAGTTGAGTAAACAGACCTCCCAAATGATCATGGCATCTTGATTGATACCTTTTTTTCCTTGCTGAGTATATAAACAACCAACATTACTAGCACCATTCCCAATTAACCTTCCCGGAATCTGTTGAAGCCCTCTCTCCTCAGCTCCTTCTCCGGCGCCGCCTCCTCCGCCGCTGCTCAACTTACTGATAAATGTACTAAAATCACCATTAGAAGAACTGTTCTTCCTCAACTTCAAATCAATTTTTCTACTCTCATTCTTACTATCACATTCCTTCTCCTCACTCTTCTTCCCTTTACTTGAAGAATAGCAAATCCCCATTTTTTTAGCTCCAAAAAATCTCAAAAATTCACAACAAAAATCTCAACTCACATTCTTCATTTAGTACTGATTCTTATAAGATTAACAGAATTTGATAATCAAATTGTTACAGAAACCCTAGAAATCAACGAAGTTCAAAATGAAACAAAATAATCAAAAATTACAGATAAAAACAGATGGAAGAATAATCAGGTGAGGGTGTAAAGTATGAGTAGGTATAGAATTTATGACCTGTTTATATATTTATTTATTTTTATTTTTCAAAACTATAGGTTATATAAATATAAATAAATAAATTTAATATTTTTGTTTTTTTTGCAATAAAATATTTAGTTGGTCGTGTGTGCTGTTGAAAAAGTTACTATTTGAAATTGAATGAAATTTGGACTTTTGTTCCTTGGGTCCTCAGTCCGCCAATTATTAAAGTTTTGAAAATTACAAAAGCAGTCCCACTAGTTTATGTATTTAGGGAAACATCCTTTATATGTTTTCAACTTGACATTTTTGCCTCATGACTTTTATAATTGGAAATTATATTGGAATAATTTTTTATTTTTTTAAGTGGCTCTTAGGTAAGATAAGTTGTTGAAATGATTATACTTATATGATAATTTTGTAGTCTTTTGTAGCTACTTGTATTATATATACATGTGTTGTGATAGCGTAATACCGGTTAGATAAAGTAATTAGAATAGTAAAGAAGATTCAAGACGAATTTAATGAGAAAATTAACTTATACTTATTTTTATAAAGGAATATAGAATGGATATAGTTATGAATATTAAAAACGGGCAATCATCTATAACTAAAGTAATAGGACGTCCACATAGTTAAGTTATTTTTTTGAAAATTCGAGACAACTTCAGGTGTCACTTTATGTCTTTTCTCTTACATTATATTCATGATCTACTTTGACAATCAAATTCTATTACATTATCCATTAGTCTTAAGGGCTCGTTTGGTGTGAGGGATACGAATAAATAGTCTTGGGATAAATTTTGATGTCTTGTTTGGTTGACAAGTTTGAGATAACTTATCCCATCATTTATAGCATAGTGATGGGATAAGTTATCCCATATACATGGTGGGATAAGTTATCCCAAAATAACTAATCCTAGGATAATTAATACTGAAATAACTAATTCCCAACCAAACGACCCCTAAGAGTTAAAAGTTAAAAGTCAAATGTTATTCACTTTTAACGTTATAGAGTTTGTTATCTAAAAAAAAAAAAAACTACTCCAGCATTTATGTGAATATTATATATATGATGTTCTTATTAAAATTGGCTTAAAAATATATCCATCGAATTAAATTTGATCTAACCACTCTATTATTAGATGTAATTGTGAACTATGACAACTTTGTTTTCGGAGGTGGATTGATGATTTTTAGTTTATAAATCATAATTATTTTATTTATTTATTAAATTATAAATAAATTATTTATATATATTACATAATTTTTTTATATAAGTAAAAAAAGTTGAATTAAAACTATTAAATTTTACCGAATTTATAATTATAATGGTGGATCCACCCCAATTGAACATGACACTACAAACTACACATACTGAGTTGGCAATATATTTTTTTAATTATTACTATGTGATCAAGAAATTTAAAGTATACAGTGCATGACAACAAGAAATTGATCATTCAATGCATATCATATATAATTATTATTATTGTACCAAAAAAATATTATTATTATTATTATAAACAAAATAAAAATATGGCTCAAAGACAGCAAGAATAGTGTCGACAAGAGAATCTATCAAGAGCCCTGACCTTTTAACAAATAGAGAATCCAAGGACAATATTTTGTCATGCCCCACTATTTTTGTTCTTTGGATCACTCGATCACATCATTCGAAAAATTTATGAATTATTACATACAAAAAATCGAAATAGTTATGAATTTTTGTTTTGTTGGTTGTCCACGATGAAAGCAACAAACTAAGCTTTATATTGATTGATAAAAGCTTACAAGAAAATTGTTCATCGTTAGTAACACAGAGATTGCTATTACAAATAACTAATGAAAACAATAAATAGTAACTCCTACAGACCCTGCTACTTTATTATAAATTTTAATACATGAATACAATTGGAGAAACATTATTTTAAATGAAATACATGTACTCAAGTTAGGTAATTCTTGATAGAAATTGTACTCAAGTTAGGTAATAATCACATAAAGCTACTTTTTTCGATAACATATTCCGTGCAATTTCGTAGTTGGAATCTAAAAAGTACGATGTGTTTACACAATCTTATCTTACCTTGTAAACGTAGAAAAAAAATTTCCAATAGACACGCAAGTGGACAACATAGTAACCCAAGTAGCCTTTAAATTGATTTATCTTCTATTCTACTAAAAAAATGATAAGCGAGGTCAGTAGTGTATCATATCATCAAAGGAGTAAATATCTCAAATGATCACTTAAGTATTGTGAAATTATTTAGCGAAGTCGCTAAATTTAGTAGTGTATGAATAAAGCCACTCAAAATGACTTTTCTTTTACAAAATCACCATACATGTTGTCATTAAAGATTAATGTACCAAAAGACCCTTGATAAATTGTCCTTTTACAATGGCAAGTTTCAAAATAATAAATAATACAATACTAATAAATATAAAACAAATTAGTAAGTATACCAGCTAGAGAAAATTACATTTCTTGAATTCAACACCTCAAATTTACAACATACACTATTTCTAACAACATGAACAATTTACATATACAGAAAGAAAAAAAAAAGTACAGAGGGGAAAAAAAAGGAATAAAACAAAGTTGAAAGTAATATTCAACCAAATACAAACTATTTACCTTCCCTCCACCACTCCAAAATTTTCCAATTCACTCCAAAAATCTAAGCTCAAATGCTTTGATCATATGCAGCGGTTGTGAATGTCGAGTTACCTTGAGAAGAACTCGTGGATGGCAACGTTGTTGTATTGTCTGATAAGACGTAATCATATGCTGCGTTAATTTGTTCAGGATCACTACTTTTAATCTTGAGATCCATGAAATCGGAGATCAAGCCTGGTTTTGTTATCTTATTGTCATTGACCTCCATCTCACCGGTTAGCATCTTGAGAATCGTAGACATGGATGGCCGCAGCTTTAAGGAGTCTTGAGTGCAAAGGAGCCCAATCTTCAAGAATCTGCAGGCCTGTTCAGCATCAAAATCCCCGTCTAGAGACGTGTCTACTAGCAATACCAACTCCTTTCTTTCATAAAGTTGCCACGCCTGTAACACACACATGAAAATAGTCAAACACAGCTTTCAGCATATTCATTTGAAGATTGTAGACACTAAGAAAAAAGAGAAGCAAAGAAAATGATTCGTTCTTCTCTTTTATGTTCTATGTTGATCTTGCAGAGATGATTTCATTGTCGCGTCGCGTGGATATTTCATTTTCTTCCAAAAGATTAGTTTTATAGCTTGTGAATTCATGAATCAGTTAGCATCATGTTTCAGTTTTTTTCTTGTGTTCTCGCCATATGAAGCAATCATGCAATAATTAAAATGAATGTATGGTTTGAAAAGTCATACCCTTTCAAGGAGATATTGTTCGTCAATAGGTAAACGCGAGTTTGTGTTGCATCTTCCAGTGACAATTTCTATCAGAAGAACGCCATAACTGTAGACATCTGATTTACGTGTTGCCTGGCCTCTAATTGCATACTCTGGTGCCAAATAACCACTGGAAAAAAGACATGGATTTGAGTTAATGAAATTAGATACTCACTACTCGGAGCATTTAGTAGAAAAGAGCAAGTAAAAGAGAGGAAAAAGGAAGGTGAAGATAGCAGAAAGACTGGAGTAAGTACATGGAATTACTTAGCAGAAAGCTATTGTACCACGCGTGTACTTACATGGTTCCTGCCACACGTGTACTAACATGAGTAGCGTTGGGGGGAATGAGCTTTGCCAGGCCAAAATCTGAAATCTTGGGTGTCAAGTCTTTGTCAAGGAGAATATTACTCGCTTTGATATCACGGTGAATTATATGTGGCTTCACTTGCTCATGAAGATAAGCTAGCCCCTTCGCAACTCCAATGCTAATTTTAGTCCTTGTTCGCCAACTGAACTGGATGCTACTGTGTCCTCCACCTGTATGCAAAATATCCAGAAGAATTAGATTTGAGTGTTTAGAGATAGAACTACAATGAACTAGAACATTTGTATAAAGTGATTAGTTTGGTTATTACAATAACATATCCAAATGATATAACTCGATCACTTTTGCTGTCCACGGAGTATAGAGGACAAGGAGGGAGCCACTTAAAGCACAATCTTATTTAGTATAACTCAATTCATAACATAGTAGTGGAAACAATATTGGGCATTCACCTAATCTAAAAAGCTGATAGGAATTCGGAACAATGTGTTTATCTAGTTTGCCTTCAAAAAAGCACATCAGGAATCTGTATGTAGTGATTGACGATATAAAAATCACAAGAAGGAGCAAGAAACAAAGCAACAGAATCCTACAAGATTCAGTAAGGACGACAGAATCATTTCTCATTTAACAGATAGATTATTCAAGTCCATGTGTTCTACATCAACTTTGATTCTCAATTTGGTTTTCTGTTCTGGAATGAATCTGTTCTAAAGAAAGACTGGTGAATCATGTGAAGCACATAACACTCCTCAGACTTCTCGACTTACAACTTTCAACTGAACTAAAACCTCAAACATCTTGTTACAAGAGGTTAGCTTGGAAACACACTTCATAAATCCCCACCCCGTCCACCCCACTAAGAAAAAAAAAAAAAACTTGCTTAAGGACAACTTTAAATACATTGGCCATGTTATAAGCATGAAATACAATCCAGTCAAACATTTGAGGATGATGAGTGACACAATCATCAAGAAACACTAGTTGGCTCTTGCTACAACAACATACCCAGTGTAATCCCACAAGTGGGGTCTGAGAAAGAGAGGATGTATGCAAACCTTACCCTACCTATGTAGAGGTAAAGAGGCTGTTTCCGGTAGACCCTCGGCCCAACGACACATTACCAAAACAGGTTAACTAGTTGGCTCTTGCTAGAAACAAGAAAAACGTTATTCAGGCAATGCAATTTGTTAATGTAAGAAATTAACAAATTAGCTGGTTTGCACCCATCCAAGAGTGAATATTAGATTCAGGCTCACCAGAATAGTTGAGCTATACATACAAAGGAAGATAAACTGACTCAATATTACGTCTAAAACACTCGGTGAACATCTAAAAGTACTGTTGAAAAATCCAGGAAAACAAAATTACCGAGAAGCGTTTGAGCAAGGCTGTTATTTTCAAGATAGTTGTAGACCAATATCCTGTGATCATCTTCTATACAACAGCCATAGAGTTTGACTAGATTTTCATGGTCAACGTCTGAAATTACTTTAATTTCTGTCAAGAACTCCCTGACACCTTGCTTTGATTCACTTGAAAGAACCTTTATAGCAGCCATCTTTCCACTTTTTAGCCTTCCCTGCTCATAGCATCATATAGTAAAAATCCATAAGACTTCTTAATCACATAATATTTGAACCACCAATTCATAACAAGGTAGAAGGAGAACAGTTGTCATTACCTTATAAACAGAACCAAATCCACCCTCTCCAATTTTATTCACAGAACTAAAGTCATCGGTGGCGATTCTTAACTGCTTATAGGAGAAAAGAGTGACATTCTTGACGCCAGAGAGCTCTGTTGTGAATCAACTTATTAGTATCTTTTCAATATACATAAAAAATTATATGTGGTATACGAAAAGATAAAAGAATGTTGAATGTCACAATTACTAAGAACATCCAAAAATTATATAATGGGCGGACCTTTAGTGCTTACCATCATTAAATTCAGATGCATGCCTGGTTGATGACTGATGTTTTCTACGGAACAAAGGGAAGCAAGTCATAACTTTAGGATGCACCAATGACCCTCTGTATATGATATCAACGAAAATCAGAGCCTGCAAAATTAAAGAAAAGACTCGCTATAACTGCCCAGTAAATTGGCAAATCTAGTTGATACGAAATGCACTAAAATATAAAAGGATAGCATAAGAAATCATGACAAACATGGTTATAAGAGGGTACTTCATGCCTAAAAGAAGTCGGGCAGCCCGAATCAACATCAACTTTGAGGGGGGCGATTAAGTCCAAACTACTAATTGTAGTCAAGTAATTTAAGCTCAGATTCACTATTCTTTTGTTAACTTGCATTTAGCTGTAAAATCTTCAGAAACAAACTATAGCGAGCTGCTCATTCATGACAATAGATGCATATTTACGTCAAACCATCCTCAATCTCTTTTCTCTTAAGCTACAATTTGTTTTGTTCTTTCCTTCTTCATTAACCAAAGCAAAAGGACTTCAACTCAGTTTATCAACTTGACGGGGTATGGAATGTTAAAGAAACAAACTTTTAGCCTAACTCAACCCGAAAAGCCAGCCCATGACGCAAGGATTTTCCAAGACCGTATAAGGAGACTACTTTTACCCTATCTATAACCAAAGTCAAGACTACTTTAACTTGGAAGCACACAAGGCTAGAAGAAATGCACCTAAGAATGGAATTGGCAGCAAAGCATCATGGTTACTTCCCAATAAAATGGTAACTCAAAGCGAAACATGGACACAACAACACATACCCAGCGCGATCCGACAAGAAGGATACGATGTACACAGACCTTAACGCTACCTTTGTAGGGATAGACCCTCGGCACAACAACTAAAAAAGGTGGACACAGTGAAGCATAAGAAAACAATTGATCAGCCAAAAACACAAAGTTGGTTCAACTGTTTACCAGATTGAGAAAAACATAAAACAAAAGAACATATACAAATACAAAAATAAAGCATTATACAATTATGGTTTATCTAATTAAGCAGAATCTACCTAATATCTGACTATCAAAGCTCATGTTAAAAGTACTCTAGCTCAATATTTGCTTCAAAATCAACCCCAACAAAATCCAAAAATAAAAACAGGAATAAACAGAAGAAGCAATTATTTAGAGGCATCATCATAAAGATTCAAACTTTGAGAAAAAAAGACAACTACAGAGTGACATCAAATAGGCCATTTTTTACAAGCTCTACATAAAAGATGAGGGAATCAAGATTCATAAAAGAACAAAAACAATACTTTAAAAGGAAAAAGAAGATAAACCCATCAAAGAACAAATCTTTAAGAAGCCAAAAGATATAAATCAAATAAAAATTACCTCAAAAAATAGCAGAAAACAAAAACAGGTGATCTTGCTGTTTTTTTGGTTTTTTTTTTTTTTTTTTTTTTTGGGCAAAGAAGTGAAATGGGATGGATCCCAAGATTCTTGAGAGTCTTATGGAAGTCTTTTAGAGGGAAAATTTCTTGTTCACACTAATAATTGCAGACACGCCCCAAAAATAGTGCATAGATGAAGAAGAAGAAGACTTTGTCTGGTCCTATGAGGCTACGAGGAAAGTGAAATAACAAGACGTAACCTTGGCGCTTACTAGTCAAATAAATTTAATTTTACAACAACAACATGTCTCCCCGTCAAATTGCACAAGTGAAGTAGTATGTGCGGAGACGTTATTATTATGTATTCGCAATTTAATTACACAAGTGAAGTTGGTGAACATGATGTGTATGAAATTTTATTTTTATCTTATAAAGTTAAATAAATTGTTTTTGATGTAACCTTAGTTTTCAGCTAAAGTAAAATTATTCAATTTTAATCCATATGGGTTGTGTGGAGAGATTGTTCCACCTTTAATAAGAAATTTTAAATTCGAGTCTAAAGAAAATTTTGTTACGTCAACTAAATAAGAATATAGGGTTCAATCTAACTTTAATCGATGCTTCAATGGGGACACTCTACACCAAATAGAAAAACAAAAATATTATTTAATTTTAATGCTTAAGAATTTGAAATAAAAAGTAATCTCACTTAATTATAAGCACCGTAAAATAGAAATTTTGTATCTTGAATTTGACTTTTATTTTATTATTATTCTATTTTGTTTGATTTATAGATTATTATTTTAACTATAGAAGATAACAAATTACTATTGCCATCAAGTTGGACATCCGTAGTAGCTGTTGGCGTGGCACTGTCAAATGTTTTATATGGCGCCAACACGTGTCTGGGACCCATGCACACACCTAACTTAACAAAATTCTATTTAAAAAATGTTGAAAAAAATTCTAAATTTTTTTGGAAAAAACTGAAAAAGTTTTATAGATCAGATTATTTCGTGAATTGAATTTCACTTTATCATTTACGATTTTTTTATTGTTATAGAAAATAGTCTCAATATCTTTTAAGATAGGGTGATATTTGGTACAAACTATCATTCTGGTATATCTATTGCGCTAAATATATTTTGTTAGGTGTATTTCATTGCATGTTTTTTTTTAAATTGTTTCAATTAAATTATCATTAGAAAGAAATTTTTGCAATAACTAAAAAAAAAGTGGAAAAGAATGTATTGCAGACAGTCGTGGATGGACAACTCCTTCCTTAATCAGAGATCTTGAATTTGAATCCTTAATGTGAAAAATTCTTTGATAGATAGTGTTTCCTTCAAATAAAGCGCTATGCAATACGAATTCAAAATAGTCAAGCTCCGAAAAGATACTGAAGATTTGGTAATAGTTTTTCAGCCAAATTTGAAACAAATTTTAAAAAGTTGAACCAAAAAGAAAAGTCAATAGTTACTATTCTAGCTTATACCTCTTATATACATAATCAAAAAATTTGTCTATTAGAGAAAAAAACTATCCACACCTGAAATGTGAATTGTGTGCAATTTTGGGTTTATAAATTTCAAAAGTAAGCAACTGGATTAAAATAAAAATATTGGGAGTTGACTAAAAAAATATTTAAAAAAATTCTAAGCAGCCACTTGATAACTTTATTCCAAAAAAAATTATGTCAACAATTACAGTTTCTTAAAGGACCAACTAATGGCAACATTAATGACCAAAGTGGCAAAAGGTTTTAATTTTTGCATGTAAGTAATTTGACATTTTTTAATCAAGAATTTCAAAGTAGTGGATTTGTTTTTGGCCAAATTAAAGAATTGAGACTTTTTGCCATGTTATTTGACTATATAATAAAATCCATTTTCAGTTAAAAATATGTGTGAATAGGAAAATTATGACAATAAAGATAGAATAAGACAAAGTCATTACATAATAATTCATCCTTTTATTGAGATATTTGCTTCAAACTTTCTACTGGATCTTACGTAATTCTAAATAGAAAAACTTCAAGTTTAATAATTATGAATGAAGATAATATAATCTCCGGTCATGCTAATTTCATATGAATTAATGTTGAAAATTGTGTGTCTATCATTTGATTAATGACTTCGAAAATGAAATAAAGACTTTTTATAATGATACTATCAAAATTCAAACTTATAATTTAAAGTAAATCTTGAACAATTTTTACTATCATATTAAATATCTTCTTATATAAATTTTTTTAACAATTTATATATAAAAATCTTATTTTTAATCTATTTTTACCAACAAAATTCAATTGAACCTCCTTCTCTCTCGCTAGCTCCACGCTTTATTTATATGGATATTCATAATTCTTACGTGACAAAAATTCTTTATTCAAGTATTAAAAAAAAATAAAAAAATAACATACCTCCCAATTTTATCTCATACTATCGACTATCATACTATATATTGAATCGTTCAAAAATTATGTATTTTTAAAAATTTCATCATCACTAACATAGATAATAGTACATATCGCAACATTCTAATAGTTGAAGAATATAATATTTTTAGAAAATTTGAGCAAAATGACTCCTAACATAATAAAGTTTTTTTTCCAAATATATGGATGTGGATAAATAACAATCACTTATTTCTCTAACTAATAATAATAGTAATAAATTTCTAAACATCAAATTTTCCCCTTTCTTCCCTTCGAGTTGGAAGAGAAAATCAATGGCAAATGTTGCTGCTAAAGTTGCTGTAATTGGTAGTGGAAGTAAGCACCCCCAAC